TTCCTTCCTTCCTTCCTTCCTTCCTTCCTTCCTTCCTTTCTTTCTTCTGTACCCACACTACCTCTGTCCTAGTTCTTAAGGCTCTCCCCAGGTCGAAGTGTTTGGGGGAAGAGATACCCAAGATGCTTTACCAAGCATGCAGGTTTTACTCTAGACTCTAGCAGGTAGACTTAAGTCACTGTGGGCCCCTGAGAGAGAACTTGACAACAGAACAAGCCTTCCCTAAGCAGACCCACCAAAACCCAGGTATTTCCTATAATGTAATAGTTTTCTAAGGAAAGGGGAAAAGCAACAACATTTTCTTTGGGATATTTTCTTTCTCAACTAGTCCAATTATAAGAGACTTAATACTTCTTTCTTGGCAGAGCTGGAAACTTACAAAAATCAGCCACTGTGCAGGTGCAGCCCACTCAGACCCCCATAAGGGTGTCCAGTTTGAATAGGAAACCTTTCTAGGATGATTGAGGCCTTCTTGAGTCTTCATAAGTGGCAAAGACCCTGGGATTCCCCTCTTGGTTTGAACATTATGTTTGGATATTCCCTTGGCATTCAACTCGCATATTTTCTTTCCAAACTATGGTTTGGAAATGGTATGGTACGCTCTGAAGTTTCAAAGATCAGAAGACCTGGAAGGGACCTTGGAGACCAATCTCCTCATTTTCCAAATGAGGAAACTGAGAGTCAGAGAAGTTAGGTGACTTGCCCAGGGTCACCTGTGTGGTGCTAAGTGTCTGAGGCAGGATTCAAACACAGATCTTCCTGAATCTAAGGCTCATGCTAGAGCTCTCTCCCTCCTTATCTCTGCCTCCTGGCTCCCCCACTTCCTTCAAGGCTCATTTAAAGTAGAAGCCTTTCCTGGTCCTACTTAATTTAGTGCTTTCTCTCTGAGATTATCTCCAATTTATCCTGTCTATATCTTGTTTCTACATAGTTGTTTCCTTGTTGTCTCCCCCATTAGATTGGGAGCTCCTTGATAGAAAAAACAGTGACTATCTTTTGCCTTTCTCACTTAGCACAGTGCCTGGCCCATAGTAGGTGCTTAATAAATCCTTGGATCATGGATGGCATTACAGGAGCACAGATTTAGAGACGGGGGCCATGCTTGTTATATTTTTACCTTCATTTCAAAACCTGATGAACCTTTTCTGGTGAAATACAGAAGGGGACTCAACCTCATTCTCTTATCTGCTTCCCTCCCTGCCCCACCACACAAGAGCTTCCCATACTCGGATCATGGTGATCTGTGTGCTGTTGTCAAAGAAATGCCAGATCTGAGGCCCCACTTCTTCCCAAGCCTTGAGAAAGTTTCTAACACGCTCCAGTTCTTCAAAAGTCGAGTTGGCCTGAGAAACAAAGAGACGGACAGAGGAGCAAGGATAGAGCAGGGAGGAAAAAGAAAGAGTGCACGTGAAAATGCTTCTGTGGTTTGCTAAAATACCTGTAAGGGTGGTTACAGTGTTTGGGAAAGGCTGTCCATGGAAGTGTTTTTCCTTTTCTACATTGACCTGAAGATTCCTTAGTCTGCTGAGATTTCCCAGAAGAACCTACCATTTCTCAGGATCCCTGATTGGCAGAAACTAATGCTTTCTTGTTATCCTCAATGATCCATGGGATAATGATGGTGTTATTGTCTCCCTGAACTTCATGAAAACGTCTGGTTTCATTCTGTTAGTAAGCTGGTTCCTCCCTCTCTCTTCTCCAACCTATACTGATACCTTCTCATACAGCCAGGACACAGACACATTGGCTATTTGAACTAGCTAATAGCAGGAATGGCACACATTTCCAGTAAGGATAGAGCACAGGTGTCTGGTTGGGAGACCGCATCACTGAGATTCTGAGGCTGATATGCTACAATGAAGACCATAGCATGGGCACTGGAGTGGAGCATGCCCAGGCACAAGTGACAAGGAGAGGATGATGGAAATCCCAACAACCCACCAGCCCAAAATAAACATGACGATCATGAGGGGCAAATAAAATAGACGGGAAAAAAAAGTACACATTTTCTTGAGGGGCCAAAGGCAAGGAGGCATGAGGGGTGAGGAAAGAGGAGGCTTACGTGTTTTAATATCCGACGAACAGCAGGGGAATCTGGAGTAAAAAGGATTTTCCCCATCAGCAAGGGCTTTGCTGCCCTCCAAGCTATTTTAGTTAAAGGGTTTGCTTCCATGTTCTGGATCAATGAATTGCAAAAAGATGCTGCCAGGAGAGAGGAAGAGAGGGTTGTTGGAAGCACATCCACTATGCCAAAAAGCTTATCACCAAACGGTCATTATCATGTTCAAATCTGAGGCCCCATTCATTCAGAACTGAAGGACTGACAAATAGAGTAAGCTAATAGGCTGGGCCCATATAATAGCAAGTTCATCACTAGCAAGTAACCAAATGCCCAGTACAGTTCAATCAAGGTCTTTCCCCTGGAAATAAAAGCTAGGGCTTGCCCTGTTGTATTTCTTTAGAAGAGAAAAATTGGAAAGGTTGCTGGTGATTAGGCCAAGAGACAAAGGATATTATCCCCCCAAAGAAAAGGAGATGCAGAGCCAAACAGGCAGGGGCAACAGAAAGACAATGACAGTTTAAACCATCATTGATTTTTTCCATGAGTTCTATGCCTGACTTCCAAGGTGCCCTGAGCTGTCTTCCACCTATTCCTCATGTATCTTATATAGACCTAGTTATGTGGACAAGGTTGTCTCCCCCATTAGAATGTAAGCTCCTTGAGGGAAAGGATATTTGAGGGTATTTCTCACCTTTCTTTATAAACACAGGATTTTACATAATGCCTGGCACACAGTAGGTGCTTAATAAGTGCCTGTTGACTTGGTTTACCTTGATGCTGCCATCAGTGTCACAAGGCTGGCTTACAGCTGGCACCTCCCCCACTTCCTTATTTCATTTTTTAGCACATGTCAGTCATTTGCCCTGTTGTTATAAGAGCCAGGAAAGAAAGAGTGAAGGGTGGGGGGAGTTCCCTGGCAGGGCCGTGGCATTTAGAAAGTTAGACAGAGCTGCACACACAGCTCTCCCTTGCATTGTGTTTGTCAAAACACTCACAGTCATGTTGAATTGCCAGGGCCCTTCTAACTTGAGCTTTGATTGAAATTCTGTTCTGCCTCCCAATTCACCTTTCCTCCAACTTTTCCTCTAGAATTTAATCCTAGTTCAATTAGATCAGTGACCAATGCCCCCTCTGTTTTTTCCAGCCAAGTCTTGGCTCAATCCATGGCTCACGAACAAATTACTTTACAATTTCTATCCTTTCATCAATGGGGAAAGAGAGGCCCCTCTCTCCTGCCCTCACCTGCCCCCCCTAAACTGCCTAAGATCACTCAAGGAAGTCAATGTGTTCAAGCCAACACAGGATTCCCAACCACAGGCTAGAAGTATCTAACTAACCTGACCAACATGGTAGATGAGGAGTGCCTCAGGAACTTAAAAGAAAACTTACTTGTTCTTTTATCATAAGAATAGACAGGATCTTTTCTGGAAGGATCTATGCCTAGGAAGGCTTTGTAGTTGTTGTCTTCATACCAGTTGTAGGAAAACACTCTGGAACCACCCCGCTCTGGGTAACCACACAAGAGCTCAGAGAGGATCCTCATCAATTGGCTAAATGACTCTGGCCCTCCATTCTGCAGGAGGGGCCCTGTTACCCACAGCAGGTCCTGGACACTTGGCCGATGGGCTAGCTGGGGAAAAACAAAAAAAGTTGACATTTACCCAGTATTTTAAATTCTGAAATTTACTTTTGGTATGTATGTGTTTAATAACATTTATATCATTATCATATAATATATAATTATCATATAATATGACACTTATACATATATATTATAATCATATAATTATACCATAATTATTATAATTATATAATTTATATACACAAAGATTTAATATGGTATATTTAAAAGCTAGAAATGAATACATCAATATTACCAACTACATTTGCTTAATAACTATAAACATTTTAATTAATTCAAGTATCATGACAATTTTCAGTTACTCCCTCTATATATTGTATGAAAGAAGTATTTAATAAGTGCCTACTATGTGCTAGGCTCTTTCAAAATATTTTCTCATTTGATCCTCACAGCCACTCTGGGAGGTAGGTAGTGGTGAGGAAACTGAGACAGAGAGAGGTTAAGTGACTTGCATAGGGTCACACAGCCAGGAAGGCCAGAGGTAGGAATGGAACACAGGTCTCTCCTCACTCTTAAACCCAATATTCCTTCCTGTGTAAAAGCACCACAGATCTGAAGCTAGAAGGGGTCTTATAAGCCATCTAGTCTAACAGCCTAATTACACAGATGAGGAAACTGAGCCTGGGGAAGTTGAGCTACCTGCCCAGGACCTTGGGGAATGGACTTGAACTGAGTCTGCTGACTCCCGATCCCAGGTTCATTCCCCTGCATTCAGCTGAGTGAGTCCTTTATAGCATGTTGCTTTATTAGCAAGCAGAGCCAGAGCTAACAATGGAAGCAAAGCCTTGACTTGGAGCAGGATCTCCATGGCCACACAAGGATAGTCATGGTGGCGAGGAAACCTTTATGCAGCTGCAAAAATAAAGACAGACTGGTGTGCACAGGGGAATCAGGGTGGCTGGGGTGGCTGGGGGTAGGAGAGAGGGGTGGTATCTCACTAGTTGCATAAAGAATTTTAATAGTCTCCTTCTCTTTCCATTCCCCTTGTTTGTCTTTCCTGGAAATACATCCGGTGAGGGCTGGGAGAACCGGGGGCTGATGTGAACTCCTAGCCTACTCAATGTAGGCAGAAGTTTATACCCTCTTCTCTAGCAAGGAAGAGAGCTGTGGAAAGAAAGGTAGATTGCTAGAAAAGGCTAGTGCTGACCAGCCCAGGTAACCTAAGCACAAATCTCTCAGGCTGGACAAAGCAGAATCCAATCAGATCATTGGAAAACTCCCTCCTTGCACGATGAGAACCAATCTCACAACTTTGCATTGGGGTCTTTTTGCTGTTTCCGTTTTCTTTTGATGTCCTCTTTTTAAGGTTCCAATAAATGAAGAAATTAACTGAAGGGAGAAAACTCTCAGGCCTGCTGAGAGATTCCTTTCTCTGAGAATCCACAATTAAATTCAGCCAAAGACTCACAGAAAATTGGTTGTTTCTCTCTCTCCCTCTCTCCTCTTCTCTCTTTCCCTCCCTCTCCCTCTGTTTCCCTCTCTCCTCTCTTCCTCCCTCCTCCCTCTCCCTCTCTCCTTCTCTTTCCCTCCCACCTTTTCTCATCCCCTCCCTCCTCTCTCTCCCTCTTCCCTTCTCCTTCAGGAGAACAAGCACCACAATCTGAAGAAGAGAGATCTACAGCAGCAAGAAGAATGTGCAGGGCTTATCTAAGAGGCTCTATGATTCCTATTTGCTTAGCCTTTGGGGAAGGAGGGAGGAAAAGCCACTGTGCTTGCAAACAGTCCTCCCAACTTATCCTAAAAAGCAGTTGGGGATTTAAAACCACCATTGGAATTCAGTGGGGTGAGTCTGTGGCCAATCCTCCCACAGACATTCAGGGAGGTTTACTTGTCATCCCCTTCTTTGTCTGCATGCCAACATTTACCTCTGTAAACCGACACGTGTCCCAGAGAATCTGAGCAGTGAGCCACACCTGTGACGATAGTGTGCGCTTCACTAAAGCAAAGAGGTCTGGTTGTTTCTCCCACTGTGAATCTCATAATGCCTCTGGAAGGGATTATTATCATGATCATTATTATGTTTTGCCCATCTGGCCAAAACCACACAGGATGGGCAACACGGAGAGAATGTGGTTTCCCTTACTCAAGGGACAGCCCTGTGATCTAGGAGAACATTGGTCTGCTGGAATATTGGGGTCCTGGCTACAACAAACCAAAGGAAAGAGATGGTGTGCTTATCAAATTGGCAGATATCACAAAGCTGGGATGGGGAGCTAAGAAGTGACAGTCAGGTTCAAATGGACTTTTCTAGGGTCCAGCACAGGGCCAAATTGAATTGGAGTAAATCCAATATGGGTAAATGGTAAATTTACACTTGGGTTGAAATACCAACATCAAAAGTACAAGCTAGAGGAGGAAGCAATGGAGAATTCTACAAAAGATCTGGGGGTTCTAGTGGGACTGAAAAACCAGTCTGAGTCCTCTGAGCAATATGGCAGTCAAGATACCAAGTGCCATTGAAGGGTTCATAAAGAGAAGCTTAGGTTCTAGGAATCCAGTGATCATCCCACGAATTCTACCCTGAGGAGACCACTTGTGGAGGATCATGTGCCCTTTCAGGTGACAAGAAGATTGGTAGGACTGGAATTAAATACTGAAAGCACTGTCACCAGGGAAGATAAACTAGACTTGGTCTGCCTAGTCCCAGAGGGCATAACTAGGACAAATGGCTGAAAGTTTCATAGAAATAAATTGAGGCTTGTCATAAGGAAGATTTTTCTAAACAGTTCATTGTTGTTCATTAGGGCCTGACCCTTTGTGACCCATGAACCATCATTTTCTTGGCAAACACAAGAGTGGTTTGCCATTTTCTTCTCCAGTGGATTAAAGCAAACAGCAGTTAAGTGACTTGCCAAGGGTCATGCAGCTAATAAGTGATTATGAATCTGAACTTAGGTCTTCCTGACTCCAGGCCCAGTGCTCTATCCACTGAGCCATCTAGCTGCCCCTATCTAACAGATAGTCCTTTCCAAAAGGAGAAGAGGCTCATAGTCATAGGCTCAGAATTAGAGAGATGGAAGGGATATAACGAAGCCCCCTAGACAAACCCCTTCATTTTATAGATGAGGAAACTGAGGCCCAGAGCAGCTAAGTGAATTATTCAAGGGCTCACATATATTAAATCTTTAAGAAAAGGTTAGTTGACCATGGTTCAGGCACAGCTTAGACCAGATGCCCTCTGAGTTCCACTGTGATTATTCAAATCCATGACTCATATAAGGTCAAATAGTCATCAGCATTGGTTAATATGTGTTGGGTGCTCTACACTGGCTCATTTCACAAAGATTTGTCTTGCATTCTAAAGCAATAGAAGCAACTCCCTGTTAACCATATAAGGAACCAGAAAGGTTGATATGCCTTAAATTCCTTTACATACTATCAGGTCCACCCTTGTGTTGATAGGCACCAACTCAGAATTCTTGAATACTGATAAAGCCAGGGATGTTAAGCCAGAATACTCCCCAGACCTGGTAATGGGTCAGAGGCAATGTGTGCTCAATCTCCACATCCCACCTGCATAGCAGCTGTGTCTGGCCTTTGCTCATTGTGCCTGTGGAAGAATGACCTGGCTAAATTTGAAGTTGATTGTGCAAAGGCAAAGTCCAACTGGGAGTTCTTCTGGTCTTCCTTGGGAAGCCCAACTGATATATTCAGGGCTGAGAAGGCTGAGAGGTGAGAGGGAATAGGGGAAGGACTAGAGGTTAGCCAGCTTGTCTGGCCTATTTTACAAAATAAAACATGACACAGAAAAAGGGTCATTCTTGGTCTGAAAAAGTATCTTGGAAACAATGAACATGAACTTGGACAGACTTTGAGGGAGTGGAAGATAGAAGGTCCTGGCCTGCTCTGGTTCATGGGGTCACAAAAAGTAGGACATGACTGAAGAACTGAACAACAACAGAACAGGTAGAGTTATGACTAGAAGACCACAATATGGAATCAAAGCACCAAATTTAGTGAGCTCCAAAAGCACCTACATTCACTTAGGTGCTAGAAACAACTCAGCTTGATATCTAGTTAATAAAAACAACTGGCTGAAATAGAAAGCCACCAAGTGGCATATGCTTCCTTCTCCTTTTCTTTCTTCAGCCTTTGGTGCCACATAGTCCCAGGTTATCTCCCCAGCTCCAGAGTAGCCTCACTGTGTGAGCCTCTGTCTCCACACACAACTAACTGTCAGTATGCTCACAGTTGTGTGTAGTTTTTTTTTTTTTTTTTGATGCTTGCTCTGGGTCCTTCATGAAATTGGCCATTGGCCCTAAATAGGAAAAATGCTAGTTATCCCTCTGATAACATGTCACAGTGATGGAGGAGATGCGGGTCCAGGAGAGTCAGCTTTTAGTTGGAGAAGACAGATTAGTAATCTTAGAAGCTACCCAAACCTCCTAGACAGGTAGATTTCTGATTGACCTTGACCTTATATATAATTACTGAAATTATATATTTTTGTCCTTTATAAATTCTGCACTGTAGTCCTACTCTGATGCTTCAGCACAACAACCAAAATACCCTTGAGCTCTAGAAAGCTATCTCAGCCGAAGTTCTAGCAGGACCATATTTAAAGTTAGGCTTCAAATATATGTTCGGTGATGGATTTTGTAGGCAAGAGAACCAGGCTAGCAAAGTTTGAAGAAGTTCATCTCTAGAAGCTTGGCTAATGAAAGGAGGCTTTTTTTTTCTTCTTCGGCCAAAACAATTTGTTTTTTGACCAAAGCAATTCTCATACCCTCCCCCAGAGTGTGAAGGGGTCATGAGCTTCATCAGCAGAAGGAGTTCTCACATCCATTCGTGGATCTTTTGAAGAAATACCAGAAGATGAATTGTTTTGCTCATGAATAAACCCCTAGATAAAGTGGGCTTCAACAATTGTTGACTGAGGGGGAGAAGGGGAGGATGAAGTATACGCTAAATACAGAGGACTGGATGAACAGTGTTGGTGAGGACTGGAGACCATGTTAAATAAGGATGATTGCTATGGACAACTTGGGATGTCTGGCCTGGAGATCAAGAGACTTCACGGTGATATGATAAGATCATAGAACTATAGGACTTCATTTTACTGAGGCTCAGGGAAGTTATGTGACCTCCCCAAGGTCACACCAATCTTAAACATCGCAGGTAAGATATGAACCCAAGATAGATATCTTAAAATATTTGAAGTCTGTCATGCATAAGAAGGAGTAGACCTATACTGCTTGGTCACAGAGAAGAAATCACTAGGAGCAATGGGTATAAGTGGCAGAGGCAGATTTCAGCTCAATTTAAGGAAAAATTTCATAACAATTAGAGGACTCTCAAAGTACAGTGGGCTACCTCATTAAGTAGTGGGTTCCCATTCCTAGAGACCCTCAGATACAGAGGCTTGATGACCACTTGTTGGGGATATCATACATAGAAATGTGTTGGACTAGATCACCTATAAGGGCCTTTCTAACTGAGATTCTCTTATTCTATGAGCTCTTCAGTGCTCTTGGTGCTGCTGGTCTGTGAAACCATGGAATCCAGTGACTTAGGAATCAAGAATGCCCTGGGCCAAAGGGCCATGTCCTTCTGCAACATATTTGTAAGCAATACTACTCCTGGGAAAACTACAGCCCTTTGAAGACTGGGAGCAATTCTTTACAATAGTTGAGGAGGTTTTTTAAATAAGAGGATGACATCAAGTCCACCCAACACATTAATATTATGAATAGGGTCTTTTTTAGAAATTATAAGTATATATCTATGTTGCAATTATTTTGATGTTATATTAAAGGTTATATTATTATATGTTAAGAAAGCTTTTTTTTCCATCAAAATAAATTACATGAGAATCCTCTGACAAGAAAACAAGACTAAACTAAGGCTAATGGTACATGCCTATACTCCCAGCTACATGGGAGGCTGAAGCTGGTGGATCTCTTGTGCTTAGAAGTTCTGGGTTACAGTGGGCTATCCCAATAGGGTGTCCACATTAAGTCTGGCATCAACATAGTGAGCCTCTATAGGGGAGCAAGGAGTCACCAAGTTTGCCCAAAGAAGGATAAACCAACCCAAGTCAGAAATAAAGCAGGTCAAAATTTCAGAGCCAACTGGCCTATGAATAGTCCCTGAACTTCCAGCCTGGGTGAGAGAAGAAACCAGTCTTCAAAAAACAAAAACAAAAAACAGGACTGAGGGATCATAGATAAATTAGCAGGCTAATTTATAGCAGGCTTGAATAATAGCTCCTTTACCAACTAGAGATCCCTTGAGTCAGGTCGTAGGGCCACTGTTCACTTGTACCACACTTGAAAGTCACAGGGTGCTGGTGGCCTTGCTCAATGTATAAAACGAGAGAGATTCAGAAAATTAAAGAGAGGTAAAAAGCCTCTGAAACCCTTAGATGGGGCCATCAATTGCCACACTACAAATTGGAAGGCCAGGGAAGTCATGTTCTCCCAGGGATCAACTACTTAGTGAACCAAATGTGGGAAAATCTGGGAAAGCCATAAGATGTTTTCTTGGTCTGTATTATAATTACCACCATCAGACCACTTACCTCTTGCACTCTTGGAGACATAGTAGATAAAGCCCTTCCCCAGGATCTCAGATTGATACCTTGAGAGCTGCTGTCTAAGAGCGTGGGAAGCTATACGTGATAAGAAGAAAGAAAGGGGAAAAAAAGTTCAGCTGTAAGTTTCTGCATGCATGTATACACACATGCACATGCACACACACACACACACACACACACACACCCCAATAGTCACTCCACTCTCCTATGCCCATAAAAAACCATTTCCTCCCTGCTTTCTGATCATAGAGCCTATTTCTATGAGCTTGTTTCCAGAAACACAGCTAGTTGAGCAAATCAAAGGATATTGTTCTAGGCCACCCCACCAAGCAAGTCAATCACAAATAGTTTGATGGTGACATTAAATACACCAAAGTAATCCTGACTGCTGGTTTAGAGACACCAAGCAAGATTCCTGGAGGAAGGCAAACAGAGAGCAGCTGTGTGAGTGAGAGGAAGAATGTGAGTGGAGAGTTGCCAATGTGGTCACCTCAGTGGCTCTCTCCATCCTCCCTGACTTCCCCATAGATTGTTCCCATGTTTTCTTCCATTATGCTCTCTGCATTCAGGTTGACCCCTCTTCCTCTGTTCGACACCAGCTCTGATTTGTCCTGGGAGCTCTCCAGTTACGTGATCTGTCCAAGCTGCCGCCACTGGTGATTATCAAAGGGAAGGAGCACTCCTACAGATTCCCCAAATGCCAGCAACGCTCCCTTGGCCCTGAGTGCCACAGTGCCCAGCTGGGCAAGCATTCCCCACCTCAGTGGTTCGATGAGCTGCCTGTCCTGGCTTCAGGAACCTCCAAGGATTCCCAGGAAGCCCAAGAGCCAAACCTGACTGAACAAACTCAGTCTCTTTAATGTCATGATTATGACCAACAAAAAAATTCCCTACATCCCGTGCGCTTTTCACTTGATGAAAGCTGAACTCCAATCTTTGAGGGGACTAGATATACAAAGTACAACAGGACCTTTTGCCAGTGGATTTTGGCCTGTTCATATTTGTGAGGTTTTTAAAACAAATATTTATTGACATCGTTTGCTTTATATTACCCACATTTCCCTCCCCTTCTCCCTCTCATAGAGCCATCCCATATAATAAGAAGAAAAAGGACAACCCCCCCACAGTTGAGCAAAATTAACCATCACATCAAAAAAGCCTAGTATCATATAGTCTTCCACACCCACAGATCTCTACCTCAGCAAAAAAAAGTGGAGGCGGTGCCTTTGGGGCAGTTAGGTGGAGCAGTGGATAGAGCATCAGGCCTTCAGTCTGGAAGACCTGAGTTCAAATCCGGCGCCTCAGACACTTACTAGCTGTGTGACCCTGGGCAAGTCACTTAATGTTGTTTACCTTAGTTTCTACAACTGTAAATTGAGCTGGAGAAGGAAATTGCAAACCATTCCAGTATCTTTGCCAAGAAAACCCCAAATGGGGTCACAAAGAGTTGGATACAACTGAAATGAGCGAATGACAACAGAATGAAAAAGTTTTTTTTTCTCCCATTCAATAATATAGAAATGTTGTGAACAGCATTTTCTTTGGTGGTTTGGGAGAAGGTCTGGGATTTTTTCCATCTAAGATCACATTACATTTTTTTACCTCTCAGACCACTGGCCCGGAAGGATCTCCCTTCCATACACTTTGCAAATAGCTCTGACTTATATCAGATAAGTAGAAAAGAATGACCTTGAATTCTTACTACTGAAAAGACTGGAACAAATAAGCAGTGTCACTAGTAAATTCTTGGTACTCATTTATGAGGTTGCCTTAAAGGTTAAGATACACACACCACTCTCCAACAAAGGGACACCCAGAGAGACAATTCTAGTTTCAAGATAACATTGATTTCCATCTCTTCTCTCAAAGTCTTTTTAGGAAATCTTAGGTAAGAGAGAAGCAAATTTGTCATGAGGATGCTCAATTTCTCCGAAAAATATGACAATCCATTTCATAACAATAAATGCTCATTGTGTATTTTTCAGTTGTTTTTCAGTTGTGTCTGACTCTTCCTGACCCCATTTGGAGTTTTCTTGGCCACCATACTAGAGCGGTTTACCTTTTCCTTCTCCAGCTTGTTTTATACATAAAGAAATCAAGGCAAACAGGGTGAAGTGACTTGTCCAGGGTCACACAGCTAGCAAGTGTCTGAGGCCAGATTTGAATTCAGGAAAATGAGTGTTCCTGATTAGGCCCAATGCTCTAACTACTACTTCACCTAGCTGCCCTAGATCCCTCTTCAGATTTCAACAGAAATTGCCTGACGCCCAAATCCAGCACTTTTGCTAATATACTCTTCAATATTGGAGAGGATATTCTAATATGCTCTCCCATAAATCTCACTCAAGCAAACAAACCTAAAGGTAAAGCAATTAGGTTAAAACACAACCACCACCACAAGCTCTCCTTGCCTATGAGGAGGTTCTGAGCTCTTGGAGCTGAATTTCTGAAGGAGACATATATGTTGGCTCTTGGGCATGGCAACCCCATGTTAAACAGCCCATTACTATGGGGGATGTGGTCTCTTCTGTGCTGATAGAAGAGTTCAAAAGTGATGGGGGTAAGCTAACTTTTAAAAGATGTAATTCTCTGCCTCTCCCCCCTCAAAAAAGAAACCGAGATCAAGTCATTTTCTACTACTCGTGTGTGTATGGACAACTGTATTCCAGCTTGGAGCTGTTGTTCCAGGGAAGCCAGCTTTATCCGGGAGGGAAGTGTGTTGCTAGGTAACCAGGAGGACTGTGGAGTTGAGGAATGTTTGTTAGGACCTGACAGCAGTTAAGTGTCAGATGAAAAGAGAGGAAACTGGCTGCAGTGGTGAGGGGGCAACAAACAGGGACAATCTGAGACTGGGAAATGCGTCACGAGGAGAGAATTTAGACTAAGTCATTTCACTCAGGGGCAACAACAACAAAAAGGCCACTCTGTCCTTCCAGGAGAGGCCACAGAGACAAGCTGTTTCCCAAAGGCCTGGGGGAACAGAGTCTCTTTGACTCACCAGGGTGGGCATGTGAACAGACTGGCCACACGATGCTCTCAGCCTCTAGTGAAAATGGGCAAAGGGGCCTTTGACTCTTTGTGGGGACTTGAGTTCTGGTATGTGTGGCTTGTGGGAACCAGCCTGGGGGTCCAATTGTGGATGCTGTCAGGAGGTCACAGGATCACAGGAGAGCTAGAAGGGCTTCAGAGATCATCTCATACAGCCCCTTTCTTTTACAGTTGAGGAAACTTAGACCCAGGGAGCTTCATCCAAAGTCACCCAGGGAGCTCAGTAATAGAGGTAGTATTCTAAGCCAGATCCTTGGACTCCTTTTCTATTGCTCTCTTCACTATATCCCACCATTCCTCCTAATCTAAGTCTTGGGAGCTTGCAAGGATCTCCTCTACATCTACAAAATTGAGGTGCAGTATGGACAAAAACCTTCTAGCAATGGAATGAACTGCTTTGGGAGGTTGGACCTCACGGGAGGTCTTTGGGCAAAAGCTGGATCACCACTTGCTGGGGACGGTAGAGAAAATTCTTCTCCAAGTAGGAGCTGGATTAGATGGCCTCAGAGGTCCCTTCCAAGTCTGAGAGGCTCTCAGGAGGAATCTCTGACTTCCTTCAAAGTTCAGCTCCAAAGCCACCTCCTACCTGAGTTATTTCAAAAATGTGTGTGTGTGTGTGTCTATGTATACATACACATCTATTTATATTATATGTCTGCATATAGATATGCATATATGCATGCGTTTCATATGTGTGTATCTACGCATAGATATACATATGTGTACATGAACATGCACTATACATGAAAGGCAGCTAGATGGTGTAGTAGATAGAATGCTCAACTTGCAGTCAAGAAGACATTTGTTCAAATCTCGCCTCAGACACCAGCTGTGACTGTGGGCAGTCACTTAACTTTTCCCAGCCTCAGTTTCATCATCTGTAAAATGGGAATAACAACAGCACCTACCTCACAGGGTTGTTATCAGCATCAAGTGAGATAACACGTAAGGTGTTTTTGAAAACTCTATATAAATGTTGTGTATATGTATGTATATAGGTACACGTACATGTGTGTGTATGTCAGGATATGTGTCTCATATGTGTGTATGTACATGCACTTGCTATTTCCCCCATTACAATTTAAACTCTTTGCAAGTAGGGTTTGTTTCATTCTTTATACTTGTCTCCCATAATTGTTCATCGGTAGGCCGACCCAATATAATAAAAATGACAATTCTACCTAAACTAATTTATTTATTCAGTGCCATACCTATCAAACTACCAAAACATTATTTTGTAGAGACAGAAAACAATCATAAAACAATTCAACCGGCAGAACAAAAGGTCAAGAATATCAAGGGAATTAATGAAAACAAGTGTGAATGAAGGTGGCCTAGCTGTACCAGATCTCAAACTGTATTATAAAGCAGTAATGATAAAAACTATCCGGTCCTAAGAAATAGAGTGGTGGAGCAGTGGAATAGATTAGATACACAGGACTTAGTAGTAAATGACCAGAGTGGTCTAGTGTTTGATAAACCCAAAGACCCCAGCTTTTGGGACAAGAACTCCTTATTTGACCAAAACTGCTGGGAAAACAGCATGGCAGAAACTAGGTAGAGACCATCATCTTATACCATATACCAAGATAAGATCAAAATGGGTACATGATTTAAACATAAAGGGTGATCCCATAAGCAAATTATGAGAGCAAGGAACAGTTTACCTGTCAGATCCATGGAGAAGGGAAGAATTTATGACCAAACAAGAGATACTTGTCTCCCCAGCATCCAGCTCCATGCCTGGCACACTGGGGTTGCTTAATTTGATCTTCATAGCAAATCTGTGAGGTAGATGCTGTTGAATATTTGAAATGGCACTTGAGCTGATCGACTCCTTTGTGTGTGTGGGGGGTGGGGTATTGGGGTTAAGTGACTTGCCCAGGGTCACACAGCTAGTAAATGTCTAAGGTCAGATTTGAACTCAGGTTCTCCTGACTCCAGGGCTAGTGCTCTATCCATTGCACCACCTAGCTGCCCTAAAACTAGGGATTCCAAGAGGCCAAGTAGAGGAGGAAGAACATTCC